TTTATCTTTGAATAGACCTGCGCTGCGACTTGAGCTTCACAACTTCGTAGCTTCCACAAGCTGCTTTGGTTCTAAAAGAGGCGCCTAGTTACCCGCGCCAGAATATCCGCGCACAGAGAAAAAGAAGTCATCAATTTCGTTCGTTTTTTTGGAATTTGTCCCGCATTGACAGGGGTTACGACGGACATAATGTTATGATAAAATCGAAGCCCGTTCAATCTTGCTGCTTTGTCCATCTGAGCAAAATGAAGCTGCGAGTAAATCCAAAAAAGGTCACCGGACGAAATCCGTTGAGCTTGTGCCATAAAGAGGGCATGAAAACCCTTCAATGTCGTCGTATAAGCGGATTAACTTTGGATATTCATTAAGGGATACTAATCCACGTGAAAAACGCAAGAAATTGCATTTGCAGTAAATAGAACAGCAGAAAACCCAGTTTCAGTAATGATTATTTCTTATTTCCGTCTTGAATTAGAAATTATTGCAACCGTAATGGCTTCTTCATGCGCAGCACTGCTTCTATTTGCTCATGTGATCATGATCACTGCTTGGTTTGATGCTTATTTAAAACCCCAGAGACCGATTTGTGTTTAATCGCACCCGTGACAGACATCCGGTTTTGACCTGGAAAAGACTACATTGCTGTTTGTTTGGCAACACGCACGGGAGTAAATAATCAGATAATAGTGTAGGTTGTCGCTAGATTAGAAACTGTGACTCTAACCGCATCAAGATGAAAACGAATTTGCCATTTTCGCATAAACAAGGCGTGTATAAGTATACGAATAGTGTCGTTTTGTGTTTACTTATTTTCGTTTCTTGTATTTTCGCGAAATGCGAACGTGTGTGTTTGTAGGCCAAATGGGAAAAGTACAATGTGATTGAGCATCTAACAAAAATTGCGCCAGCGACAGCGAGAGCACAAAGTAAAACGACACAACACACAACTTAATTGTGATTTATCTTATTGTCCGTTTCGCCCGAGTCGAACGAGACGAAGCTGTCATGAACGCGAGCGAAATGCATCAGGCGTTTTAATTAAATCAATTTAGTTTTCTTCGTTTTGTGTCAGCGTGCGTAGATTGTAACATACGTGAACCCAGCCTGCGAGTGTCATAGACACAGCAGGCGCCAGGCATTTAATTTACTTTTTTGTTAATTGTTAATTTAACGCTCGTAATTGCTTTATTGGCAGAGTCGTTAAGGTCAGTTGAGAATGAATGTTAGGAAACATCTGACAGGCACGGCTTTGGGATATAAAATTATCAAGCGTCAATAAATAGTAACATGTCAACTTAACCTCTAAAGACTTATGCTTTATATTAATGTCAACGTCATTAAAATCAGATTGAGAATCAATTTGGTTGCATAAAATCATAATCACCAACTGCCATCTCATTATCATAATGTTCTTTAGTTGCCTCCAAGGATATTTGAGTCGCGCGAGTTCCATTATTGATAAATAATCGGATTACAATCTACGTGTCGCCTTGCGACGCATTGCATCGCTCCCAGGTTGTTTTGACGTGACGGGGAATTTTGAAATGATTGCCCTGAAGGTGTCCAAATGCCGTTTACCTGTAATTCGGGTAATTCTTCTGCGGTCTGCCATGTAAAGCGGATTAGAGTTTCCAGTCTACAATATTTATCGCTTTGTAGCAATCTGCAGGCTGTGAATATACACTGGTATTGGATTTTCATTTGCGAAGAAAAGCCTCTTATTCAAACACACATCTGCGAAATGTCTCCGGTGACAAATTCCGCAAAATATTTTGCGGTTTTACAACAAAATTCAATTATATTCCATCTAAGTTCTTTCCGTGTTCATGGCTGTTCGGTACGTACACTTATCTTATTATTCAATTAAAGGCTCGTGATAAATGGCTTTTCGTTTAAGATAAATGCGCTTAAGGTCAAAACAATAAAGCATCGATTTTTGTCACAGGGCATAAATAAAACTTGTTGTTCTCCAGCAGCGGGGATATCAGATTCGAAAATGTTGTTGCAGCGCACCACGGGGACAACAAAACGACGGCAGGGTCGAAGTTAGATAATAATAAATACATGATTGATGACCGCCGTGTGTTCGCGTTAGCGTCGCGACATGGCAGCGCGCGTAAACGTGATGGAAATACTTTATATGCGCTTTGCATGAACTCATGAAGACTTGTGTACGGTACCAGCGGAATACAAACACGGCGATGGCGATTCATGGGTTACTAAGGTCACACTAGGTAAAAGATCCTCGAAGGTATAAAAATACACACTCAAAGTGTGTTTGTGTGAAGTATGATTGCTTTCGATCGTTAAATCTATAAGAATCAAATCGCTTTATTTAAATTTACGATCTGTCGGTTGTGCAGTATTTCATTAATGTGGGATTAACTATTTCGAACAAATTTATCTGCTGTTTCAGCTGGTGGTGACATTAGTACCAAGTTGACGTGTATACGACTAGTAGATACTTGCATGGCGAATATTCCGACTAAATTTAGTTCGATGTAGGTTTTCTTGTCTTTTTTGCAAAGTTCTGATTCATACCGGTTTACTGAAGCAGAATAAACCGAACAAAAAAGCGAAACTATTTGCCACCATGAAGTGGCACTGGCGTCACACGAAACACTCTCCGTTGGGTGATCTTTGTCAATCCGAAGACATAGGCATTAGCATTGTGCAGTCATTCATATTGCCATTATGGCCATGTTTCACTCTTACCCAACTCGCTTATCGCCTGCGCCTATCTCTTGAATATTCGATTCTATACCGAAAGGAAATGAAAAGAGGCCCAGACTGTTTATCGCCTGTCGTTATCAACTGAAAACGAACGAAAACGACAAACCTATGACGATAGAGACGATAAGTCGACGTTTATTTAGTTGACAAGAGCTTCGGAATGGTTGGGAATATTGCGGGGGTTCTCAAGGTATCAAACTATGTGCATTCGTGTCTGGAAATTATCCGTGCTGTGCATGTTTATTTATTTGTATAAACATGAGATGCATAAAAATCGTGTTCGATATTTAAATAATGACTGGGTACAAAAAAACACTCGAAATCAGACATTTGACAGTCATCAGACGCTTCAAACTTGAAGATATTAAGTAAACACGTCATTCAAGAGTCGCAGTCATGGGAAGGTTACATTTTTAAGGGATAAATCTGTCAGTGAATCACGGAAATTTCATCTTGAGATAAAATTTGTTAAATAAACAGCGTATTTTTAGATTTTTAATGTGTTAAATCAGGTCGTATGCGAAATGCGTAATCAATTTGTTTTGCAAACTTTGCGCGCGCATTAATTTATTGCCATTCATGATTTATTCTATAAACACTACTAATCTCGGAGGTCAATCGGGTGCTTGATAAATGTTTCATTCTCGCCGTTTATTTTATTTATCAGAAATAAACAATTTGCTATATTTTCCACATCCTGCAACGATTATTGCGTTCTAATTAAATTTATAAAATTTTCTGCTTGTAATAATTATATTGCTCGAATAAACCGGTGTCTATAAATATTTAAAGCTCCAGTCCATACTCGTCATCATCATCATTGTCGGTCATCTTGATTATATACCTATAAGGTATTAGTCAAATGTTTGTTTAGGTTGGATGCATTTATATTCCACCTTGAGAGAGCTGAAAAAAAAAACAACGAGTATGATTGAATAGTCGGTGTTTTTCTTTTTCGTTCTTTTTTCTCTTCGTAAGCAGCTTGGTGCCTGCTGTGGCAGCGCAATCTTGAGCATCTCATTTCATACGTGAACAAGACACACTTTCCAAGTCCAACACACATATTCGAGCCGAACCCATGGCTGGAAACGAAATTGTTAGGCATTCGGGCGGGCGCAGATCAAACGAAACGATGTATCATCCCATGTCAAATTGTAATCACGCATCGCACGCATCGTTATAACATAAACGTACGACGTGATTATTATTGCACTAGTTTTCACTTATTGTAAATATAAATACGTATACACCGCGTGTTTAAATGGATTCTTAAGATATCTTATTAGTATTTGGGAAGAGAGTGTGCTGTGAGTAGATATGTAGGTACATAATAATAAATTTAAAATTAGTGCTCGCGAGAGTCGTGCAGGCGCAAGCAGCGCGAACAAGAACAAGGCCCCGAGGTGTTGTTAATGTGATTATTATACGATAATAACATTGCCAAATTAAATTAAATGAGAAACTGAATTTTATGTGCTTCTTGATTAACATCTGCAGGCCATGCTTGATTTACTTACACACGACTAAACTGTTTTCACATTTCACATTTCTCTTGCTCGAGGTTAAATAAATTAAATTATTACTCAAATGCACATTATATATTACTGTTGGAATATGCGTCGTTATAACACCGGCAAAATAACAAAATTAATCAGGGCTATCCAATACTTTTATTATTGTATAAAGATAAAGTCTTAATGTGTGGTATACAATAGGAGCATTATTGTACGAATGAGTCAAAGGTTTGGCTTTAAGTTTTTGCAACGTTTTAAGTTAGTTCGATTAAGAACTTGTAAAAGAGCGGTATTCTTTTCGGTGCAGCCAAGTTAAATAAAATATTAAAGCGAAAATCTTTCTAATTATTTAAATACCAATCCATAACTTCTAATAATTACCAACATAATTACATGTTTTAATCTTCTTTGTCTGCATTTGAAAAATATTCAACGTTTTGTAAAAAGTTTAAATGTTAAAGCATAGAAATTTACGATTTTCAAATGTTAACGTTTGTCATAACTTTGTGTGTTGCATTTGTTACATTTGCCATTTGCATAAATGGCTTTGCATTATTTCGAACGAGGCCACATTACGATTGCTCCATATACTCACGGCCCGATTGTAAGGAAGTTATTGTTCGCTTACTACGCAATTAATATCACTGTGAGTCTTCCTCCAGCCCTACATTTACATACATTCACTAAATACATAATCGTATTTGGGTCGATTATATCTCTTGAAATAATAATCGATGTGTTAATTTGTTGCAGGCAGAGTGAAGCATCATCATTAGCGCTTTCCGGGATAACGTAAAAACCACTTAAACGGTTCTTACTTTTTACACTCACCCTCCAAAGTGACGAAAAAACTGGTGAGTTAATTTTTCGCCGATTTACAATTCAAATTTGTGCAAATGCAGTGAATGCGTGAGTGGCAGCCACACACAGGGTGGCAAAACCACCTATTTTAAATATATAAAAAATCAATTCCCTGCGAGCATTCCACTCACTCCTCCCGGTTTCCTGCAACTGCGCGGACAAAGCGTGTATAATTCTGTTGCGAGCAATTCATCATTTGCATTAATGCTGGGGCCTTACGGCGTTCCGGCGGTGGCAGAGGGTGTCACATTATTGCGGGCGGCGGTTGTGGCTGCAAAGGGACGGCTGATAGATGCCAATAATGAACCCTTCCAGTCATTCCAGTCAGGACTTTACTTTTGTTACGCAAATTTACAGTTCGTCCTCTCTAAACAACAAAAACTCTTAAATTCTATACAATTCTGACATTTTGACAAAATTAATTAATTTAAACTTTGTACTAAACCCGTTTAAAACAATTAATTTGCTTTAAAATTTTATAATCTGATATATTATTAAACATACTGTATATTACTACGTGTGATCTTATTAAATGTCCATTTGAACCGGACTTTGAAAGCTCTACGCTCGAAAATCGCTAGAGTTTTAGGCGATAATTGATTAACAACTGAAACTAACGCAGCTTCTGAGGAGTTACGAGAGAAATTTAGGGTTCGTGTGGATGCACCAAAGACGTATATTTGCATAATTAGGTTTCCGTTTGGAAATTGTCTGATTGATGTGCAAGAACTCTTCGACAGATAGTTTTAGTAGTAGATAATAGTTTAAGGCAATGATCGTCGTTGACAGCTACGAAATGATTTATTGCTTCTTCTTTGTGCGTTTTAATAAAAACACTGCAGGTAATCACTTGCAATTAGGAGTAATTATTGTTTTTGATGGTGCTAGCACCGTAATTATTTAAAATTTTATTAAATTTTATGTTTAAAGTGAAAAGTAGGTCGGCCTGATGTTTAGAAAATGCAAAATGCCGCTTTACTGTCACGGCAGTAAAGAAAAATTTTAAATTGAATGTCTGTAACCAAATGTTTATTATTATTATTATTATTTGTTTATGAAGATGTAAACGAATCGTTTTTTAATATGCTAAACTCTTCAGACATTAGATTCGTATTAAAACGGATGCAATTCTCGATGCGGTTATAGAATACGCAAGTAATTGTTTGTTGCACATGCATTTATCGACATCGATTCGTTTTATTCCGTGTTGAATGCATGGAATGTCAATTGAAGTAAGTTTGCGTCGAGTTTGCACACATTATACTCTCGCACAATTCTATCTCTATGCGCAAGTGCGCCGATATAATTGCTTGCATATTCTAAATAATGCTGTCAGTTGGCGCCACGATATTATTGTTATTATCATTTTGCGCTTGCTTGTCGCTTGCAAATCAATTTTAAAACGCCCAACAAGCGACGGCTATAAATTCACTATTTGCTCACAATAACAGCTGAGTTATTTGCGAGTCGAATAAAAAGTGCATTCCGCAATAAAAAGTATATTTATGTTGTAATATTTAAATGTGTAAAGAGTTGAAATGACGTGGAATTGTAATATTTTGAAACGAACAGACGTTTTAGACATTTTCCGACACGTTTTTAATGAGCGGAAGTTTTAGCTGACGTTTTCACACACTTCTTGTGTTCAACTTTGCAGATTTTGCAGAAAAATTCATAATTAAATCGCGCGTCGAAGTTCAATTCGGATTTTAATCATCACCGAATCGCATTTAATGTTTTTTTATAACTTTTTGGCACTGAAAGTTGTTTTAGTTGGACGTGTGGGCAGTTCGTTTCAATCAATATTAACTGCGGTAATCTTACAAGTTGAAGTTTCGTGCGCTGCAAGTGACGTGAGCATGTTGAACTTTTTGCGCTTGAACGATTTGATAAATGTAACTTTTATTGAGATTTACATTTAGATTTTCGTCTAGTAAAGTTAATAAATCGCTAAGAAAGTTTTATACCATCCTGGTGGTTTAATTCCGAATGGAAATGCAGTGCCTATATACTTGAAACATGATAAATCAACGTACAACGAAACTTTTGCGCCATTGTGTGAGACAATTATGCGTTTTGTAATATCACTCCACTCCACTCTATAACCGGGCAATAATAAATATGATTTAAACCAACGAGCGAACACGCCGTTAAATGCCCACACACGAGCCAAAAATAATAAAATGCCTAGAATTTACAACGTGCACTTAATTTCGTATAAAAATACCTCGATGGTGTTGCAGATTGTTGTCATTTAATTCAATTACACTGGCATTAAATGTAAAATCACCCATTATTGATACAATATATAACAATGACGTACAAGAACATAAATACATAATCTATTCTCTAACAATCGAGAAATAAAGTTTTTATTATGAATTTCAACGTGTTGGCGATGTAAATATTCCGAAATTTATTAAGCGCGAACGAATAAATGAAAGATCATCAATTTAAAATTGGTGCGAGAGGCGACCAAGCGTCGTTTATACACGTGCTCATCAATTATCCGCTTTTTTTGTCGACACACACGAAGTTGAAGTTTCGCGCGGCGCATCGAAGAGTTATCGCGATGCAGGCGGGTAATAATGCTCGTGACACTTTCACAGACCAACCGCATGATATGGGGCCGGCGTTAATTAATCAACTGCACAATTTCGACGTTTTTAAACATAATATTTACTCGGTGCCGGAATCGCAGCCGTCATTAATTACAACATGTCATAAATTTAAAAAATGAATATCTTTTGAATTCGGTGCGGATTGTGATAGCGAAATGTGAATATGACACTTAACCTACAAAAAAATCTCTGATTAATTATAATACTACATGTTAGGTTATGTTTATGTTTTGAGGTTACGTTTTGGTATTTAGACTGCTTTGTTTTTTATTGAAAGACAAATTGAGTGGGATCTTAAGCACGCTGTAAATGTCACCTCGACTTATTTAATGCATTTAAGCGGTTTAAAATCATCTTGAATAAAAATGGCCGCCAGCCAAGCGCAGAATCACCCACCACACTTACTTTAGTTGACATCAAATTCTCGGTGACTTGCTCTTCGGTCCAGTACAGCGCGAAACTCGATACTTTTCGCTAAACAATGACCACATGTGCGAAACCTGATAAGGTGAAGGAATTCCAAAGGATTCCTAACACCTATTCCAACAATGATTTACACCTTTAGGTCGTAGATATCATAATTTTCTGGAAAGACCACAACGCGTGTGTGTTCTTCTTGTTGTGCATAAAAGAAGTTATTTACTCATCGCCAGCGTCGTCAATTCACATTCATTATGACCCCGCATAATTACAATCACAATGCAGTACCGAGAAAGTGTGCAGATGCACTTATAACGTCTTTCCGATGAGATTTGAAGAAAAGTTTACGTTAACCATGCAGGGAACGGTTATTACACGTCGCGCAAGAGAAAACCAACCAACAAGAATACATAAAATCCTTGACAGTGCACATAATTTATGCATTGAAATAAATATTTGTAATTTAAGAAACAAGATCGTGAATCTGGCCTCTCGTGGTAAGTACTTACTTTGCATTTGTACTTTGAGGCAAGTGGAGGTGAGTGTCAACTTCGTAAGTTGCTTATTTATTTAACGACTTATCAAGATCTCGTTTTGAGATCTACGCTGGACCATCCTGCGCGGAGTAAAAGCAAAACAAGACCTGCTGGTGTGTACTCGCTGGTATGCTGTGTTTGTCGAGGTGTTCGTTTGCTGGCGACTGCGGAGGTGTGAGCTGATGGCTGACAGTTAATCTCGTGTATGCTTGTTGCGACACGACAAATGAAACGGCGCTCGAATCGACTCGAATAAAAGAAAGGCAAATAAATCGACGGTGGCATCGACGGATGCTAATCATGCGTGAAAATATATTTGTTTCTTTTTAGGCCTTGTATCTTGATAGTTGTAATGGAATTTATTGGAATTTCGAGTGAAAAAGTACTAAACTTTGTGTTGATTGACGTGGATGTTGTGATCTAGATTGAAGTTTCGTGATGTTCGTAATTAACACGACATGAAATTCGATTGCTAGCTTTTCGGGCAGTTTATAGCAAAGATTTAATTTAATTAGGATTAAATAGTTTAGATTAAGATTTCTACTTTCTTTATGGTTTGAAATGCTTAAAATAAATTTTTCGTTTTTTTTTTGTTTCATAAGTTACGAGTGTAATTTATTTCGAATTTTAACAATATATTAACGTGAAAAGTTGTCGAAACAAAGCAATAATGAATAACCTTTTTAGAACTTTTGGAATTCAATGTAAAGTTGAGTTATAATTTATGCTTGTTTACATTCACGTAGAGAAAACAAACAAACGACTAGCTTGCGAAATGGATTTTAATTTTTAAATTTCTGAATATGCATAAATCACGCTTGTGTTGTGTTTTATCTAGTTTTAACCTTATGGCTATGGTCACCAGTTAACACTCGAACGTTTTATGGCGTTTGATGATTTTTTTTCAACTCGCCGCTTGCACACACGATTTTATCACACAATATTATGACACGTTTTCCGTATGCGTTCGATGAATAGAAATCTTTTAGTAATTTTATTATTAAATTCTATCAATTTCATGGACATTACTAAATACATACTAAATGTAAATTGCTTTAGCAACTTTATGCTTTTAGAAAGTCTGTCAAACTCCAAAAACGGGCGAAACATTTCAGCTTTTCTACAAAAACAAGCAGAGAGATGAAAATTAAACCTAATTACAGTTTAAAAAGTTGTTAATGCCAAAACGCGAAAATAATTAAGTGAATTGGCAATTAGCGTTACTTATTGGCGTTGTCAATTATGTTTAAGCTCGGCGAAGATGGTACAAAGTCGCAATTTGCGCCGTCCGCGACGAATATTAAGTATTTCGATAGCAAGTTTTTTGAGGCGGTGCGTACGCCGTAGAAAAAGTTGAAATTGGGTTACACCTAAACGACGTAAATTAAGCACCGAAGCATTAAATGGGTGAAGTTCCGGCTACCGCATTGAGAATCGCTTAATGGCTTATTTACTGATTTTCAACGCCACTTCAGGCGCGCACAACTTCAAAAAGTTTCTTGTTCTTTAAACGTTTACAGTTTTTTTTTGTTTCTAAACGCTGCGCTGCACAGGTACCTGCCTGTTTCAAACTCAATCAGACGCTGGCGTTAAAAACTTTGGCAATTTTCGTTTGAAGCCTTCGATCGAGTAATCTTTGAAACTTGAAAGTGTACCAGGACATAGCTTCAAGTGATAATTGTTTTGCTACTATTCCTTATACGCTTTGGTAAAATTAATTTGCTTTTTGTTTCAATTTCTCTTCAATTCTGCTCCGCGAGTAATGTAGAAATACCAATTCATAAACTTGTTTATGATGTCCGCTGGTAAAATTATTTGTTTATTTTAACAATTATATTCCCTTGAGATGCGTGTAACGATTCGAGCGTTGCGCGTCGTTGGACCACGCTTGGACGGCTTGTAAATCATGCGCGATAAATCAATTCTTTAATTGGAAGTGGTGGGTCGTCTCATCGTTTGTTACACCACGGCACCTGTATAGTGTGTGCGGCGTGGCATCGACCGTCCGCATCACATACAACAGTAAAGAACGCTTTAACAACCACAAGGCATGCCCAGCAAAAAGAAGAAAAACCAACTAAACTCGTTAAGCAACCCAACTACCCAACAGGATCGAATTCAATCGCCGGATAGAATCAACACCAGCTATATCGAGTTATTTCTGTGCGTGTTAAGTCCATTCCTGAGCTTTTATACCTTCGCTCACCTTTGTTAGCGTAGCGTTTAATTGAAAAAGCAACTAAACAAATGCCAGCATTGAAAAAAATGACACAACAATGACAAATTATGGAAGACACTCTGGACTTGAGTGTTCGAGAGTTATGTCATCAATAACGCTTGAGCTTTTCATAAAAACAAACAGTTTTTTCTTCATCGTCGTTTTCTTTTGTTTTGCTCGTCGTCTGGTCATATCCACTTTCAGTACTTGGTTTCACCATCGGCGCGCGTCGCAATGAAACCAAATTTCTGACGTTTATTTCTTTTTGTTTCAGATTTCCGGTGCAGCGTCGTCGTGTCAAAGGCAACTAACTAGTTTCGCGAAAACGTCCAGCAGCTGGTGAGTGCTTTTTTCTGTTTACACGATTCTTTTACGCTCACCTCGTTGGCATAGGATGTCGAAAAAGCTCTTTAGATATAGAGTCGTCAATTGTGGTCGCCGTATGCACACCGCCTGCGCGCACCCCGATAGTTGACGTATTGACAGATGCAATAAATCATGTTTGAAAAAAAAAACGTGGAAAGTCATAAATTACGCGTCGTTTTTGGGTGGTAAACTGACCGAAATGGCGTACACTGCTAGCCCCCAAACGTAAATAAACATTTTAATGGCCCAGCGCAACGGAAGACGATTGTTGACAATTGTTAAGTACAGAAGAAAAATTTCAAGAGATGAGAATCGAGAATTTTATTCTTACGGAAATTGAAAAATGGAACAGTGCTCAAAAGCTTTTGTTGCGATTGTCGCAGGTCACATTTTTGTGAGCACAATGCCGCAAATGGTAGGCTTGGGTAAAATATTTTTATTTATTTACGTTGGTGCATTTATAGCGCTAGGAAACGCTTGGTCACGGAGAATTTTTGGCAAACGCACAACGTCAAAACATTTGAAAATATAAATAACCAATATGTACATGTGTTGATTTTTTTACTAAATGTTAAAATTATTTCACTTTCAAAATATTCAAATTCAAAATTTAATTGCACATTCAACACACATGTAATTTTATTCCGGAATTCTAGACATTAACACACTTTCTTAATTCTAATCTCGTTGGGACGCATATTCGCAAGGAATACTAGGTTAAACAAACCGCACGATAGCAATTAGTATTATGTGTTTATTGAAGATAAAGACACATTCATAGAGCGTCAAGAGACGTTTTTTATTTTACATTTAGTCGAGGCATCATTAAGTTCGTTTTTTTTGCTCGTTTGTCGCTTTTAACATTTTAATTACACTGACTTCTAAAACACGCGTTACTTCCCATTTCTATCAATTTTAATGTTACACTGGATGTGTAGTAAGGAGTACTTTAATGTAATTTAATAGCGTGTGGCGTTTTTTTTTCCTTCTCTTTTTTGATGCCCATTCAATTCCGCTCGAATAGAAAGCAAAACGAAGTGGTTTCCAAACGATGCTCCAAATTTGCTCGCTTGCGAATCGAAAGCGTTCGTGTGTGCACACATTGCACACACCTTGGACAGTTTCAGGTTACGCTCCTAAATGTCCGTAACAATTGCTTATTTTTCACGTGTAACGAGAACTATTGTCGTATTTATTGAATGGATTTCTCGGTCATTGTGTTCGGTAATATGTGTGAACGAGAGGGATGTCATGGGGTGTTGCGACATCAATGGTGGTCTAGTATTTAAAAAATAATTGTTCAAGGGATGAAAAATGTGTCCGTATCGATACAGAGAAAAAATGTTTTGGTTTTATTTTTAAATCAAAATAATCTATGTTTAAGCTTAAATTCTGACTTCCCATGTGTTCGTCGTGTGTTAAACCTGCGAACAATCAACGCAAATTATAATTCTCGTCGTTAACAAGTCTAGGTACGCGTTAATGACATGTCAACTGCCAAGTTTCTCATTAACTCGAGATTATACTTTAATAATTTCCCACACAATACGCAAAAGAATTGTACCGGAGAGAGTTGAAATTTGCATTCATTGCTTTCTGTGTGTGGATTATGCGCTTAGATGCAAATGGCAATTTCGCGGTAGCCTAATGTGGATATTAATTTGTACACCGTTTAGTGTGCGCCACCATGAAGTTAAATCTGCGTGCGGGTCATTGTGTAATAACGTCTAGCCCCCCGTCGGCCGAGGGATGGCTGGTCGCGCCCGGGCGATGCTAGGGGTCGGTGGCTCGTAAAATCCCGACAGCGTTTTCCGACGAAACGACCTTCCGCCACTCACTATTCACTTAAGACGCCATAAATTTTCATAAATCTGTCGCGCTCGCCGCCATGTTGCGCATCGGCTGCCATGCGGACAAAATGTCAGCGTTCGTTTATTGCGCTTTTTTCGCTTTTTTCATCCTGTGAATTTAGAATGCGTCCAAAGTTAGTTTTTAGACATTTCATAACTATTTTTTAAATTTAAGTATCAAATAACATCCTAGGGTGACTATAAAAAGAAAACAGTGATAAATTTTAAGATTAATTTTATAGGTTTTGAGAGTGTGGGACAAAAGCTTTTTTGTTTCGAAAGGAATTAATGGGAGATTTCATATATAACCTATAAAATCAAAAAGTTATGGGGTATTATTGAAGAGTATAGAATTCTATACTTTAATTCTTGTGTTTTGACGTTAGGTCAATGTGAAAATATAAAATCTGTAAATTTTCTTATAATATGAAGGTCAAATTGTGATAAAAATCATCCGGTGAAAAACTAGCAGTAACCCGATACAATCCGATCGTAGCATCGACGCCGGTGTGCGACACACGCTGTTAAATTAATGGCAATATAATATTACACGGCGTGGCAGGTCCGTCCGACGGCCGGTGCCACTAAAGAAGCGCAGGATGTGTGTTTCGTTGGCAGCGAAGGCGCGAAGGTGAAGCGCAGTTAGTCACCGTGTGATGCCAGTCAAAATAAATATGAAATCGCAGTTTATGTGCTTTCCAAACATGCCGCACAGTAAATGGAAACGTCAGCCGAGTCAAAGCAAACCAAAAGCAAGAAGTCGTGAAAGTTGAAGGCATATTTATGTACAGAGTATACGCTACGAAAACAACCACAGCTCCCTTGGTGTTGTTGGAAAATTCCAACATTCAATTCACTGCATAGCTGAATTTGCAATTGCGAAACTTTCGGATGACCGTATTAGACGCTAGAATATTGGGTCGTTATGTCGTTAAAATATCACCTGTGATCTGCGATCAACTTTAATCTGATAACCATAATACGTATATGAATAGAGCAAGTTCAAATTTCAAATTAAATTTTTACGACTAGATTTGTGTCACTTGCAAAGTATCACAACCGGACAAATTTGCATTGACTTGATGATGACTTGTTCTTAAGCGCAAGCCCACATTCGTGTATGTTGGTTGTGGTGTGGTGCAGATAATACAGTTATTAAATTTTATAAGTTAGTGCGTGTGTTTACGCTGCAAGTCATGTTTCTGAAATCGAAGAACGCCACGAACCGACCGGTCCTGCGCGTCTCGACTATAAATTCCCGCACACCACAGAGTGTATAAATTTTAATAAACATAACGATTATCGCTGCGTGGGAATCGGACAAAGAGGAAAGCTCCTCGCTGGCGACAAACGCGACAACGCGACGGTTTTACATTACATTTGCATTTTTTCCGATACCCGAGTGGTGCTGTTTTGACGTTTTTTATTGCTCTGCCTCACAAACCAGTATGATGTCAGAAATGGAATTTAATCTTCATTGTTGAAACATTTTAAAATTGTTTAACTCTCTTTCTCCTTTGTAGCACTTTGTGTTATTTTCGTAATAAAATAACGAAAATATTAAGCAACTTTAAATCAATATCGAATTTCAAGTTTGTTATTTTAATTCACAGCCCAGCCCAAAACCAAAACTCAATGTCAATTTGTTTGTTTGATCGCCTCCGAATGACAAATAAACGTCTGCTTGTGGATATTAATAAGTTAGACATCTGTATAAATAAATAGTCGATATCTGTCACTGTAGACTGATTTTTCGATTTAAATCAACAACTAGAGAACAAGATGCTACGGGTTTGAAATTTTTCTTGTTGCTAACCACCTACGGAAATTTGTAACTGCCTAAAATCTAATATTTTTCAAGAATATCAAGATGAAGATGATTTTCTGTTTGATGAAGTAGCTGCAGTATAATTGCACCATGACTGAGCACTAACTGGGTGTCCGTTTGGGCTCATTCGTTGTTCGTTTATAAATGTTTGGTAGTCCCACGTCCAAACACCACCTTAATATTTCATAAAATCAGACAGTCGCTCTCTGCGCGCCTGCTTATCTGATTCTCAAAGTTGAAGTGTCACTTTATTACTCAGCGTCACGAAGACGCTGCAACTCTGCGTTCATCTTTCTTGCGCTTGTAACATGCCTTTAGCGGATGGTGTCGCACCACACCATGCAGTCCGGACACGTCTCTGCCATAAAGTATTAAATTAAAATATATCGTGGACATCGTGCCACCACTAACCACCCGATGCGCGTCGAAGAGAAAAAGAGTGGACGGAACACAAGCGGACAACAAAACAACATACGAAATGCGTTTATGTGTCGTTTTCTTCGCGCGTTATGACTTAGTTAACATTCCGGTGTCGTTGTTGTGCGCACGACGATTATCTGACTTTTTTGTTATTTTTTATTTTATTGTTTACGGATTGTTAACCACTTCATCAACATTGCGACATCGAATTCGCTTTTGGCGTCAAGGTTTCGAGGAAGAGTCCGTGAATTTATTACACGATCGACAAATATTTGCTCGAATGCTTGACGAGCCACCCGTACGTGTGACAATTTATTTGTTTTCGATTCTCTGCGGTTTCCCAGAAGCAGGATGTGCGAGTGGCGTTGTTGCACGCGTCAAATGCGCTTAATTGCTGGCGACGTGTTCGCGGCCATCGAGTCTAGCAATGAAATTAAAATAAATGGACCTAAAACCGAGAGGCACTTAACAACAATTTATTATAATTAATGAACACATCGATTCCGCGGCGGACGCTCTGTTTTTATGTGTGGCTGCTGATGCATTTACGCCGCTTATAAATATTTAAAGCTTTCAGCGTCGGATGCATAATTCCCAATTACCCGGATAGTTTCTTTGCTTTGCAATCTTTTACTTTAGGTTTTATTGCGGCTTTTTGCTATCTTGAAATCAAATTCGCTGAATATGTTTGGCTTACTTATTTTATATGTTGGTATGTATGTGCTAAATGGGGAGTAAGTTAAGTATAGCGGTCTAAAAGCAACATAATGTGTCAGATAACATTGATTCATTGATAATTTATAAATAAGATGCGGTATTGCAATGAATCATTCACTAATCAATAGTTTATTAAATTCTAATTACAATTATTTTGA